GCAGTCACATCTGGCACTGCCCTCTTTAATTGCTCATGTTGTGCACTTGCACACACGCAGGGCACACATGCACACTCTGACACACACGTGCACAGACACACACTGATACACACATGCATGGGCTCACACTGATACACACGTGCACACTCTTATACGCATGCGCACACTCTGATACGCATGTGCACAGACACACATGCATGCACACAGCGAATCACTCATGCACAGGCTCACACCGATAGACATGTGCATGCACACACACTGATACACATATGCACGGGCACACTCTGATACCGGCTGGTGTGTGGTCTGGCTGGCTGGAGTCAGGGCCAATGGGATGGGCAGCTCGGTGGGGAAGGTGACTGACAATAGCCCTGCCTGGGACAGCGCCCCCAAGCCCCGCCCCCAACCTACCAGGAGCTGAAGGGGGAGGTGCAGTTGTCCCCAGGTAGAGCCAAGGTCTGCTCCCACTGCCCCACAGAAGCTTGGCTCCCATGGCCCCTTGGACCCTTCCCCCTCACACATGGGCAGAGTGGGTGGGGTCTCCACTGCATGCACCACCCAGCTGGGCTGCCTGTGACAGTGGCTGCCGGGGCCCTTGATTTCTTTCTGGAAAAGCCTGTGGACCCCTGGGCTGACCCGCCATCCCATCCAGGCATGCACTCCTCTGGCTGTCACCACCCGCCCTACACAGCCCAGGCCCTCCCAACGTCTCATGCCCAAGGCTGGGACCATGGGCAGGAAATGCAGGCCCATGAGGAGGGGGTCCTCGCTGGAGAGGAGCCCAATCTTCCCCTTCTCCTGTGCCCTAGGATGAGAAGAACCAGATGATGACCACCAACGTGTGGGTGAAGCAGGTATGTTGTCGGGCAGCCCTGTGCTTCCCGAGAGCCCGGCTGATGCCCCCGTGTCCCCCACACCTTGTCCCCAGTCACTGCCTCCCACCTCCAGCTGCCCTCCACGGGGGCAGGGGCAGGAAGCCCCAGTGCCCCCTTGCCCTGTGACCCCCCAGGAGTGGCATGACTACAAGCTGCGCTGGGACCCTGCCGACTACGAGAATGTGACTTCCGTCCGCATCCCCTCGGAGCTCATCTGGAGGCCAGACATCGTGCTCTACAACAAGTGGGTGTCTGCGGTCTGCGTCCTTCTCAGAGGCCACGATGGAGACGGGGCACAGGCTCTAGGCCCCTCCCCAGGGGCCTTTCTGCTCTACCCTGTGCCAGAGCCCTACACCCTTCTCACCCCACCCCCATGGGGCTGCTCTGAGGGTCCCCGCCAGGGCGCCCCAGGGCCTGTAACATGTCTCATCATTCCTGAGCTGGCAAGGCTGGCGGCCCCTCCCTGAGGTCAGTGGGACTACAAGGACTATAGACGAGACTGGACAGCCACGCGGGCCCCAGGGTGACTACCTGCAGGTCCTTACCTGGAACAGGGCCCCACCCCCACCCCAGGGTCCCTGTGCTTATGTCCCCGCTGGGTGCTGGCTCTCAGTCTTGAGCGTGTGGCCAGCACCGAGGGTTGGCACAGAACTGGCAAACCAGAGACAAGCACTCACGCCTTGCTTCTGCCCCCTGTCCTCCCCTCGCCCTGCTCCCGCGGACCCTGGACCCCGGGGCTCCGGAACAAAGGAGCCTGCTGTGCCCAGGAGCCCCACTGCCCACTGCTCCCCCGCCACATGTCCATCCCCTTGGATGCAGACAGATGGCTCTTCCCCTGAACGGCTTCCTGTAATGCAGAGAGAGCCGCTCCCAACAGGGCTGGGATGGCTTCCGGACATGTCAACAGAGGGAGGGTCAGCAGGCCACCCTCCCCAGGGCCCAACTACCCTCGCTGGGGGCCCAGAGTTCTTCAGTCACATGGCCTTACCTTCAGTGTCCCCCAAAGTGCCCGTGTGTCGGCATACCCCACTGGCTGGGGTGACAGGAGGTCTTGGGAGGGGGCACTCTGGGTTGCACCCCCATCTCCTTGACTCAGGAGCCGTGGCCAAGCCCTGAGGAGTGTGAGATGTGGGTCACCTGCTGGCACCTAGTTCT